CAGCCGCTGTGGGGCCGGGGCTGCGCGTGGGCTCAGGTCCTCCTTCTCCCCGCGGTGACTTCTCAGTACCAGCTTCTGTTTCTGCACGGGCTTCTGCCTGTGTCTGTGTCTGCGACCTCAGCACGGGGACACGGGGATGAGCTTGTTCTTTCCCAGACAGCTTTCCACTCCACGCGGGCAGGGCCGGCGCCTTCATCCCGTCTGCACTGTGTGTCCCGCACAGCTGTAGCTTCTTTCCTGTGGGCCACAGCTGGAGCAACAGCCAGGTTCCAGCTGTCTGTGCTGCAGAGTTCCAGTGCCAGGGTCGCTGAGCCCTCTGCTCCCCTTCCCAGGAACAAATTCTCTAGGCCGCTGCCTTTCTGGAGCCTGGTGCTGTGGGTTTCTCTTCCCAAAGCAAAGTCTTTCACCTTTGCTGCTCTGAGGCTGCATGGGCTGGAGTCCTGTGTTCCTGTGATGTCCTCAGGCCATCTTTTCAGGTGTTTTTTCTTGCTAATCTTTTCAGTGATCAGTTACTTTGTTCCATTTTTGCAGCCTACAACTTTATTGGAGCTTCTTTTCTGGCCAAACTCACAGGATTCTACATCATTCTGTTGAGCTCTTTGCGCTTAATTCTCAACATAAATCTGGCTAAAAACCCCCAACAGTAGCCAAAATTCAACCTCAACATTAGACTGCCTTGAAATTCCTTTGTACTGTTGTTGCCCCCTGATTAATGTGCTTTGAAATTTAGTTTTAGGGTTTTTCTTCTTTTCCTCCTTGTGCTAAAACTGATTTAGGAAAAAAAAAAAAAGAAATTTCTTCTACAAAATTAGCTTGTCTGCCACCCTTCGTTTCAGTCTCAGGCAAAGTCTCTGGACATGAGCAAAATGCAGACACACTTTCTACCAAGGTATAAACGCATTGTCTGGAGTCCAGCAGCCAGTGAAGTCCTTCTTCCCAGAGGAATCTGCCCAGGCCTGGGAGGGTGTCCCAGCTCTACTCTTTCAGGCTACATCTCTGAGCCTTTCTTTCTCACTTTGCTGCTTTTTTTGTACCATGAACTCATGACCTCATGCTTGCCTCTGAACTGTATCCCTGGCTTCTGAACCTTTCCCAGCTTTTCCCACAAGCCATTGCTTAAGATTGCTGGACCACGTGGTCAGGTACAGGCACAGCAATGAGCCTACTCCTTTGGTACCAATGTTTTAATTTTCTCTTTGCTGAGATAAACTAAATGACACCGAAAGCTAAAGAAAAGTTTAGCTCAGATACAGAGTTTTTACCCATATCAGCTGGCTCCAAGGGAGTGTAGCCTGCAGGGGGCACCACACAGGAGAAACTGTTCACTGAGGGCAGAGGGTAGCACAGAAACAAGGGGTGGGCACAGCTCTTCCTGTCCCTTATATCCTGTCCAGGCTGCTGAGGGTGGGCAGCTCTCACTCCCTTAATCCTGGTGTCCTTGAGCCCAGCACTGCATCATGAGTCAGTCCAAGTCACACACTCTAGATCCAGGCCCCTCTGAAGAGGCCCCACCAGGACTGCATGAGGCTCTGGGGGACATCTAGAGACAGCCATGACACCCAGGATCCCCTTTTCTCTCAGACACGTGCTCCAGAGTTGGGGTGAGCAGGGGACTGCTGTGGGAGGAGGGCACCCAGTGAGCAAAGCCCAGGCAGCACTGAGCCCAGCTGGGAGGACGTGGTGCTGCAGCAGCCACAGAGCTGTGTGGAGCCCGAGACTCGAGTCGTGAGGACTCTGGAGCAGGAGCTGCGGACACGGACCACACACTGCCCGGACAGGCATCTGCTTCCTGCTCTTATGCACTCTGCAGTTTACAGTGTTTCATGAACTGAAAGTTTGCGACACCTTTCCACTGTCGAGTCTATCAGGGCCATTTTCCATCGCCATATGAACCCTTCATGACTGTCTGAAATGCGGTAGTTCTGGGAACATTCCAGCCTTCTCATCATTATTTTACCTGGTATCTCACCTGTGATCAGTGATCCCCGCTATTCGCATTGTAATGGTTATGGGGTGCGGGGTCCTAGACTCCATCTGTAGTACAAATCTCTGCGTGTGTTCTGACTGCTCCACTGACTGGCCTTTTCCCAGCTCTTCCTGTCTTCAGCTCTGACCATTGCAAGACATAAAAACACAAAACCTGAGGTTAGGTCAATTAGTGACCCTACAGTGGCCTCCAAACACTCTTGTGGAAGAGCCGTACACCTCTCACTTCACGTCCAAAGCTAGGAGTCCTGAAGCTAAGTGGGGAAGACAGGCCGAAAGCCGGGATGCACCAGGAGCCAGGCCTCTTTCATCAATCAGCCAAACTCCCAGCGCACAGAAAAAAGCCTTCCAGAGATGAAACAGCTCCCCCAATGAACAGACAGCATTAAGAGAGGAAATAGCCCCGCTGCCCATTGATTGAGCATTCATGGTGTGGAGGAAGCCACTGCAGAAGGGAGCCAAGGAGAGAGCTGAGAGTTTTCAGTCCGCAGGAGAAGGTGAGAGCCTGGCTGTGATGCTGAGGGAAATCTCCACAGAGTGACTGTGTGCATGTGGGAGGGAGCAGTGTGTGTTTGGGGCAGGGACTTCAGGGGAGGCTGACTGAGGGATTTCTGCTCTGAACACACTCCGGGAAGATCTCACACATGGTCCAGCATTGCTGGCCTCTCAGAAGAAATCATCCCTCTCTCTCTGGGTTCGCTGCAGACAAATCCAAAATGACAGACAGAAAGTCTATCAGGGTTTAAACAGGGCCACCGTTCCCGAGGGGAAGGGAGCAGGACTGCTGGAGGGGCTGGAGCCAGAACTCACAGAAGAGAACACCCCACCACTCCAGGCTGTGAGAAGCTGGTCCAGCTCGGGACCCTCATTTGTGAGTTAGAGTAGAAGGTTCAGTGCCAGCACCTGAACTTTTTTGTAGGTGAGGAACCAGCTAAGGTACCTCTCAGTCTCCTGTTCCAAGCTGGGCTGAGACTCTCCAGGAGCAAGAGATTAAATCAGCAGGAGTCAGGAGAAAGAGCTTTGTTACCACTAACCAAGCTCTTTAATGACCTAATCCTCCACCAACAGATTTGAGGCTCTACACTGCATGGGCTGCAGTGTGCGGACCACACAGGGCAGCAGTGAGGTCTGTGTGCTCCTGGCAGGCAGATCATCCAGGTCAGAATCTGGGGCTGGAATAAAGGCCATACCCACTCTGGAGAGGGCTCGAGTTGGCTCAGGGAGGTGTGCAGAGCTGAGGCTCTCCCTGTGGCACTGAGGGGAGTGTGAAGATCTGCAGGATCCCAGAGGGGAAGCTGAGTGTTCCACTGGGTGTGGCAGGGGAGTGTTGGGTTAGGGCAGACAAGTGTGTGCAGTAGTGAGCTGGGTGTGTGGGAGGCAGGTTGGTGCAGATGCTGGGGGAAGACTTCGGGAAAGGCACACGGGGTGGAGGGGGCCCGTTTCCTGGGGGAACCCATGTAAGTTAAGGGGAATATGAGGTAGGTTACATAAGCCACCGGAGTAGAAGCCTCCCAAGGCAGCCAAGATCCCATCTTCAGGTGATGAGAAGGGAGCTTTCCTGGAGAGAGAGGGCCTAGCTGCAGCAGAGGAGGAGCTGGTGTTTTAAAAATCTGCCACAGCTGACGAGGACAGGGCAGCGTGGGGTCCCCCAGAGTCATCCCCCATCCCCATCCCGACCATCGGGGCCCTGACAGCTCTGGAACCTCCATCCACGCCTGTCCGTGCTCTTTCTCTCTGGACCCCAGTGACCTGATAAGCAGGGAGAGGCCTCGCTGTTTCCCGCAGCACTGAGGCTGTCTGCTTTCTCTTCCTCTGCCTCAGTTCAGATTGACAAGGGCTCAAGTGGATGTTTTAGAAAGAGGGGAAAGTCTCCCTGTAGCTGAGTGTGCAGTGCCAAGTGTGCAGTGCCCTGCGTGCAGGGTCCTCTGCAGACTGTGCCAAGGAGGTCAGGGAGGAGGAGAGTGCTGGACACCGGGAGCTGAGGGGCAGGCAGCACTCCCCGCCCTGAAGGTCCTACCCAGTATAAGTAAAGGCAGGCCGTGTTTCTCTGCACTGATACTTCTGTGTATTTCTTTTTTTGTCTTTTAACTTCCACTTTTTCTGTATTTTTTTGAGCAACATAACGTTTTATTTCTTAATTCTCACAATTTAGTATTTATATCTCCATTTCACTCATATTTTCAAAGTGGTATCCATAGTTCATCAAAATAATTTGCTTAATTTTTTTTTCTTTTAGAAGTGATCTTGCTATGCCGTTCAGGCTGGTCTTGAACTTCCTGTGTGGCCCAGGCTGGCCTTGAACTTACAGTGATCCTCCTGCCTCAGCTTCCCAAGTTCTGGGATTGTAGGTGTTCAGCAACACGCCTGGCTGTGACTTCTTAGAAGTATCTGAATAGTTTTTGTTTGCCCTTTTTTATATTTTTACTCTCATTTCTCCTACTTGCCAGCTCATTTTCCTTTGTATTTGTCATGAGTTTTTTGTATCACCTCTACTTTTGCCATATACCATATTTCTAGTATAAGGTATTTTAAAAATTATTCTAGATATTTTGAAACTCTGAATATGACTTACTATTTAATATAAGATTTAAGAAACTATATTAACCAATGATGCTGTTTTCTAGTATGTATTTCTTTAGCCTCATAGCTTTTTATTCTAGTAATCAGAAAAGAATATTGCTATTTCTATCTTTTAGACATTTACATAATTGAGGCATTCAGTGTTAAACATTTTTGTGAAAATTACAAACATTTGAAAATAATGTATGTTTTGTTTTCTTGCAATAGGCACTGATACAACTCCAAAGCATATCAGTAAACCAAGGTTTTGTCATCCATTTTGTAATATACATGTTTTATTTTGATACTTGTTTTTGTTGTGTTACTGTGTGGAGGATGAGGAGTCATTTTGAGGCTCTGGCCCCTTCATGACCTGCAGTAAACAATAGCCCCCGGTATGCAGGACAGAGATGGGGTGGGAAGGCCCGACCCCAGTGAGGGAAAATGTTCCTCCCTCTGAACCCATGCTGTGTGACTTGGCTTTGTTTGCAGAGTCATGAGGAAGTGGCCAACCACCACTGTGACACTAAAGAACAAACAGAACTATAAACATTCTTGGGCTAATGGAGTTCCTCCTGGGTTAGTGGGGCAAGAAGAACTGGTTTTGCTTGTTTGCTTAACTTAGATAGTTTAGATAAACATTGTAGTTTGTCATGAAGCTTGTCACAAAGAATGCTTTTTCAAGATAATCGTTGGTGCACTGTGAGTTGACCCGGTTTACTATATAAGAACCCTGGAATAAAGACTCGGCATGCAGTTGCAATTGCCGTGTCTCTCTGCTGTTTCTCTTCTTCGTGCTGCACCCCCCGTGTCCCGATTTGGTGTGTGTGTGCCTCTTCCCGGGGTTCAGAGTGCTCTAGACACTCGCGACAAGTGGCACCCGAATCAGGGACCCCGATGGTTGCTTAGGAGAGGTGAGTGTACATTTTTATTACGGGGAAATGGGACAATCTTTCTCTTCTCCTTTCTTAAAAATTCTTAAGCATTCACTTTCTATGTATGGCATATCGCTCAGGTCGGCTGACTTGGATATGTGTGTTCATACAATTAAAGAATATAATCCTTGGTTCCCAGATGAAGGAACTTTGGATGTAGAATTATGGAGGAGGGCGAGAGCTAATATAGAGAAGTCTATGCGACAGGATGAAAAAATTCCTTTACATTTTTGGGCTATTTGGTCAGTTGTGTACTCTTTATTAAAAGCTATTGAAGATGAACATATTGTAGAAAATTTCCAACAAGAAATTAAACCGGTTATTCAGGAATTACCCCTCACAGAGGAGGAGCAAACTATAGTCCAAAATGAGCTTTGACTAGTGAAAAAGCATCCAAACCGAAAGTAAAACTCGCCGTGGCTGATTCGGCTTTAGCTGCCGCGGCAATGTCAACTTCTGATGATCGCCCACTATTACAGGCTGTAAAACACCTAACACAGGTGATAGAACAGCTTTCCATTAAGCAGAGCCTTCCTATGTATCCCTCCGCACCTCCCCCATCTAACCCTGACTGGAAGAAGGCTTAAACTAGCTCTGGCCGATATGCCAGCAACAGGGGATTCTGAAGATGATGAAACGTCTGTCTTTGCTTTTCCTGTTATTAGGCCGCAAGATGCTGATGGCGCGGGACTTCCCCCTCAATGGGAAGGATTTAATATGGATGATTTAACAAAATTAAAAAAGGACGTGACCCTTTATGGCCCTCAGGCTCATTACACTAGAGTATTATTAATGGCAGTAGCAGATCAATATGGTAATCTTGCTCCTTATGATTGGAAAACCTTGACTAAAATTCTTTTAAAGGAGCCAGAATATTTACAGTGGCATATGTGGTTTATGGAAGGTTGTGCTGAGAATGCAAGACAAAATGCTGAGGACCGAGATCCTAATGTTAGACTCATTTCCTATCCCATGCTTTCTGGTACAGGTTTTTATGATACTGTTGAACATCAGGCTGCGGCCCCAAGAGAGATTCATGCTCAATTAAGAAATATTGTTTTAGAAGCTTGGGATAAAATGTGGCCTCAAGGACCAGAATATGGATCTTGGGCTAAAGTTCTGCAAAGAACTAATGAACCATATGTTGAGTTCATTGCAAGACTTCAAAATGTTATAGAAAAAACAGTAGTGGGGAAAGATTTACAACAACATCTCTTAAAACTTTTAGCCTTTGAAAATGCCAATGATGAATGCAAAAAGGTTTTAATTCCAATAAAAGATACTGGAACGATTGACAATTTTATAAAACAATGTAAAGATTTAAATTCAGTATCTAAAAAAATGCAACTGTTTGCTGAGACCATGGTAACCACGTGGAATAATTTGCAGTCTAAAAAGGAACAGTCTTTAAAATGTTTTGGTTGTGTCAGACAGGGCATGTAAAAAGGGCCTGTCCAAAACTTTTAGGCAATGATCAAGGAAAAAAATCTAAAGCCCCTGGCTTATGCCCAAAATGCCATAAAGGGCGTCATTGGGCTCGTGAATACAGGAGTAAACAAGTTAAGTCAGCTGAACAGAAGGGAAATGGGAAAATGGGCCCTACCCCGGGCCCGGGACAAATCAATGGGGGAAACCTACCATATTTTCCTTACAACCTGCCACCCAACACAGCGCCGCAGTGGACATACCAGCCATAAAAGACATAGAATTAAAGGGCGAACAATCTCCCGTGAGAATTCCTACAGGAATTTTTGGCCCCTTGCCTGCAGGAACTTTTGGCTTACTCACGGGTCGGTCTAGTTTAAATCAGAAAGGCATTACTGTTCATTTAGGAATTACTGATGCAGATTATACTGGAGAAATTCAAATCTTGATGTCCTCACTTGCAGATTATAAATTATTAAAGGGAGAACGTGTAGCTCAACTCATATTACTGCCCTATATCCCAATAGGATCCTCTGTTGTTCAGCAAACAGGAGGGTTCGGCAGCACTAACCCTATTAATGTAATGTGGACAGCTAAATTATCTCAACAACAACCTCTTATTAATATTTTTATTGAGCATAAGAAAATTCAAGCTCTTATACAGGTTCAGATATTACTATTATTAAGTCTACTGATTGGCCTTCTCATATTACTTATATTATTATTCCATGTAATATAAAAGGAGTAAGTAAAACTCCAGTAAATACAATTGGTCAAGCCACAATGCATATGCATATAAAAAATGAAGAGGGTCAAGTTGCTGTTATTAAACCTTATATCTTAGAAGTACCAGTTTCTATTTTAGGAAGAGATATATTGGAACAATTGGGAACTCATATACATTTTTAATATTTTAGATGTCTCTGCAGCTTTGGGGAATGAATCCTTTAAAGCTTAATTGGAAAAATGATGACCCAATTTGGATAGATCAGTGGCCCTTGACTACTCAAAAGTTACAGGCAGCACAGGAATTGATTGATCAACAACTTTCTCTACATCATATAGAACCATCCACATCTCCTTGGAATTCTCCAATATTTGTGATAAAAAAGAAATCAGGCAAGTGGAGACTTTTGACAGATTTACGCGCTGTTAATGCATCTTTATATCATATGGGAGCTCTTCAGCCTGGCATTCCTTTACCTTCAGCGCTCCCTGCTGGTTGGCATGTATATATTATAGATTTACAGGATTGTTTCTTTAATATTCCCTTGCATCCAGAAGATAGAAAACGGTTTGCCTTTTCAATTCCTCAAACAAATCATCAAAGACCTTATCAAAGATATCAATGGAGGGTGTTACCCCAAGGTATGATGAATTCTCCAACTATATGTCAAATTTATGTTGATGCAGCATTAAAACCAGTGCGTGCACGATGGCCTCAGTTTTATACAGCTCATTATATGGATGATATATTATTCTCATATAATGATAAATATGTTTTAGAAGGTATTTTGGAAACTTTACCTCAATATTTTTCCCCATTTGGACTTGTAATAGCACAAGATAAAATTCAAAAGGAAGAAATTAGTCATTATTTGGGATATATTCTTACTAGACAAAAGGTGATTCCACAAAAAATGTCTATTAGGAGAGATAAGTGTTCCACTTTAAATGATTTTCAAAAATTATTAGGAGATATCAATTGGCTTTGCCCTACATTAGGTATTCCTACCCATGCCTTACAGCATTTATTTGCCCCTTTACAAGGCTTCCCAGATCCCTCCAGTCCCCGAATATTGACAATGAAAGCTGAAAAGGAGTTGCAATTTGTAGAACAACGTATAAAAATGCCTTTTTAATTCACATTAATCCAAAATTACCTTTAACTTTATATATTATTAACACCTTTCAATATCCCTCAGCTGTTTAAGTCAAGAAGCTATGCCAGTAGAACGGGTATTCGCTAAAACTAAGCAATCTAAAAATGTTATGCCTTATATTGATATGGTTGCCTCTTTAATTATGAATGGTAGGGCTCGTTCTATAACTTTGATAGGAAAAGATATAAATAATATAGTTATCCCCTTAACTAAGGAACAATGGGAATATTTGTTATCAATTACTGAAACCTTACAAATTGCCTTAGCAGATTTCATGGGAACCTTTTCATATCATTTTCCTAAAAGTAAATTATGGGACTTTTTAAGACATCAACAATTTGTGGTTAATACTTTATTAGCTGTTCAACCAATTCCACAAGCTTTGACTATATTTACAGATGGATCTAAAAATAAAGCTGCATATTGGACTCAAAAATCTTATTGGGTACATCAGACAAATTTTAATTCTGTGCAACAAAATGAACTTTTTGCTATATTGCAAGTGTTTTTAGATTTTCCTGACCAACCTATTAATATTATAGCTGATTCAACCTGTTCTGTTGGAGTAGTGACAAATATCTATTCAGCTGTGTTATATTCTAATAAACCTATCTTATTGTCTTTATTTCAAAAATTACAAATACATGTTCAAAAAAGAAATCATTCTTATTTCATTACTCATCTGCGTTCACATTCTCAATTGCCTGGACCATTAGTAGAGCCGTGGACTCCCTGGTTATGTTTACTACACCTGTTGAAGAACATCAATTTAATCATGCTAATGCTGGACATTTACATTTTAAATATAAGATACCTTTTACAGAAGCTAAACAAATTGTAAAAGCCTGCCCTATTTGTAGGCCGTTACATTTAAGAATCATTCCCTCTGGTGTTAATCCTAGAGGAACTCAACCCAATGAGTTATGGCAAATGGATGTTACACATGTGCCCTCTTTTGGCCAGCTTTCTTATGTGCATGTAACTATTGATACTTATTCTTCATTTCTATGGGCCACTGCCCAACAGGGAGAATCCACTAAAAATGTTATTATACATTTATTGGAGACTTTTGCAGTTATGGGAATTCCCTCTAAAATCAAAACAGATAATGGACCCGCTTATATTAGCAGAACATTTAAACAATTTTGTGATCTCCATAATATCATCCATGTCACAGGGATTCAATATAATCCCCAGGGTCAAGCTATTGTTGAAAGGGCACATGGCACTCTTAAATTACAAATTAAAAAATAAAAAGGAAGGAAGTGTAGAGGATGAGGAGTCACTTTGAGGCTCTGGCCCCTTCATGACCTGCAGTAAACAATAGCCCCCGGTATGCGGGACAGAGACGGGGCGGGAATGCCTGGTCCCAGTGGGGAAAATGTTCCTCCCTCTGAACCCATGCTGTGTGACTTGGCTTTGTTTGCAGAGTCATGAGAAAGTGGCCGACCACCACTGTGACACTAAAGAACAAACAGAACTATAAATATTCTTGGGCTAATGGAGTTCCTCCTGGGTTAGTGGGGCAAGAAGAACTGGTTTTGCTTGTTTGCTTAACTTAGATAGTTTAGATAAACATTGTAGTTTGTCACAAAGCTTGTCACAAAGAATGCCATTTCAAGATAATCGTCGGTGCACTGTGAGTTGACCCAGTTTACTATATAAGAACCC